TAGATATCGCTCATAGCACGTTGCTAGTCGCGTCCAGTGTACAAGATCCTTTTGGGAGATTTCTAATAATACTGAGAATATTGCGGGCATTATTCCATCTTTATTTAACATTCAGCGAAAAATAAGGATTGAATCACGCTCCGGCTACATCTGTTGCGAATTTAAGAACGCATCCAACATGTAAGCAAGGAGAGTATCCGAGTGATATTTCCAAACGCGCCCCTAGCAATGTTTAATCTGGAGCTAACCAATTTAAATGTTTACTTTGCAAATTTAATCAATCAATAATCGGTAAATCGATATTTTTCTTTTGGGAAATAATCGATGTCATAGCAATTTTTTTTATTAATCGATATTTTAAACATCGATGTATTTTCGAACATCGCCCGTCCCTAGCGTGAAGGAACAAACGAAGGCAGGCCTCTCCGTTAATTTCGCAGCAACGGCAAGTGGTTGGGAAATTCGCGCGCAAACGAGACGCCCGGATCTTCCTCCGGACAAATGACAACGTGAAAACCTGATCACGTAAGTGATCCTCGTTTCCAGACGAGGGTTGGCGCAATCCGTGCTGAGCGATAGATGCCTAATTCGCCGGCGCTGCCCTTGTCCCCTTTCAGGAACGTCTTGTTGCGCCACGGCAAAAAAGCATGATCCGCATAAACGATCGACAGGCGAATTAAGCGAGCGCAGGCCGAAGGAGAGAATATCATGAGCGAGAGAGATCAAGGAATTGGCATCCCAATGGTCGCGATCGCTGCGATCCAACTGATTACCGTTCATCTTTTCGTGCGATAAGACGAATGCACGGAGGGGGGGGGAGGGTTCGGTTGAATGAACGTGACAACGACCGAACGAAATGCGAGATTCGGTTGAAGGGGACGGAATCTCCGCTTCTCGGAGCCGAACTTGGCTCGTGAGAACCCAGAAATTCTCGTTCGACCCAAACGCGTTTGATCTGTTCGTCATTACGTTGGTTCGACCAATCTTCATCCTCCGTGTTGGAGGGATCAATAATAATAAACTTGTTCGTTTGCGAGTCGCGATGAGCACGTGCCGCTTACTTCAAGTTCCGCTTCCTATTGTTTACTTATTTATTTATTATACACTTATGATAAATATGCTGTTTAGGGGTTTAGCCACCTCCAATAGTCTTGATGCTGACATACAGAGTGTCCCACTTTAAATTCCCCAGGCAAATATCTCGAAAAATATGGAAGATACGGAAAAATATTTCAGACAAAAGTTGCATGGTTTCAAGGAGGACATAAAACAACTATATCAGTTTATTTACAGATAACGCCACTTTCGAGTTTTATTCACTGATCGTTACTTTTCTTAAATGGAAATTCCAATTTTTTATTATATCATCTTTTTCTATCAATTAATTTGAACAGCTTTTGTCTGAAACAATTTTTTATTTGCCTAACATTTTTTGAGATATTTAGGGAAATCTTGGTAACTTTTTCAATATTTAATTTACGATATTTCGCTAACTTATTGTCGAAAGAAAAAGATGGTACTAAACTTTTTTACTCTATTTAGACTCAGGAATATATTGTTGTATGATAGCATCCTGATTTTTGTTAATTTGATGATTTTGAAATGTCCAGAAATCGATGGGTTAACAAAAGTTAGGGCACTATTGTAACAATATATTCTTGAGATCAAATAAAGTAAAAATGTGTAGTACTATTTTCTCTTTCGACAAATAATTAGCAAGATATCATAAGTTAAATATTGGAAAAGTTACCAAGTTTTCCTTAAACATCTAAAAAAATATTAAGCAAATAAAAAAATGTTTCAGACAAAACTTGTTCATATTAATTAGTAGAAAAGGATGATATAATAAAAAAATTGGGGTTTCCATTTAACCCATTTGCATCCAAGCGCGGAATATTCCGCGAGCCGCGACTGTCTGCTATCACCGAACGCGGAATATTCCGCGAGCCCGCGACTGACTTTTATCACCGAGCGCGGAATATTCCGCGAGCCCGCGACTGTCTTTCATTACCAGTCGCTGAATATCCTTCAGATGCCACAGATCGTGTCTGATCCCTTTGAGAACATCTCCCCTACATCAGTTCATTATATTCTAAACAAGTTTTACTTTCGTTGTGAAAATCTTTTTAACTGCCATTATGAGTAAGTGCTGTCAATTTATATTTAAATTTAACAAATCCAAATTTAAAAAATAATCTAATTTTATAATTCAAACTAAAATTTAGTTGCCCCAATGGATTTTGACCATCTTGACGATTCGGATTCAAGTATAGAAATAGGACATACTCGAAAACGTATCCGTCGCATTTCATCAAGTGATGACAGCGAAGTTGATCAGTGCGGCAGTTTTATAAATGAAGATTACATGTGGAAAGCCGAAAATCATACGCCAATTATACATGATTTTTCAATTGTGGGTGGTGCAACTGTAAATACGCAAAATCTGTCGAGAAAGGAAGTTTTTGAATTATTTTTTAACAAAGAATTAGTTTCAAAAATAATTACAGAGACAAATAAATATGGCGCAACCGACGCAGATTTTATACCTCTTACAGACGATGAACTAAAAGTATTTATTGCTTTAAACATTTTAATGAGTTTAGTTCCTAAGCCCACTATTCAGAGTTATTGGACCACAGATAAAAGCATAGGAACACCATACTTTAAGAATATTATGTGCCGTAACCGATTTGTCTCTATCGCTAGAAATTTACGTTTTTCTAGTAATAATAATTCTAATGACGCGCTCATAAAAATTCGAGAAGTTTCTGAAATGGTAAAAAAGACTTTTATTCGCATGTATGTACCAAATAAAAACATTTCGATTGATGAATCATTAATGCAATGTAGAAGCCGTTTACATTATATACAATTTATTAGAACGAAACGAGCGAGATTTGGTATTAAGTTTTACAAACTGTGTGATTCGAAATCGAGATACATACACAATTTTAATATATATGTAAGAAAAGATAAAACTAATACTGGATCTGCTAGCAGAAATGTTGTAATAGATTTGTTGAAAGAAAGTGGGTTATTGCACAAAGGATATTGTTTATTTATTGATAATTAGTACAGTTCACCGACCTTATATCGAGAATTATATAATATGGAAACAAACGTATGTGGAACAGCGAGAATGAATAGGAAAGAAATGCCTCGGGAACTAAAATTACACCAATTACAAAAGGGAGAAGCTGTTGTATTTTCTACAAGGGATATGGCGGCGATAAAGTGGAAGGATAAAAAAGATGTCGTTTTACTAACAACTATGCATGGCTTAGATTTTGCCGAAACGGGGAAAACAAACCGATATATCGGACAAAAGAGTTTAAAACCAACAGTAATAATAGATTACAATCAGTATATGGGTGGAGTTGATGTTGGCGATCAAATGTTAAGCAAATTTCACACTATGCGAAGATGTAAAAAAGCCTATAAGAAAATATTTTTTTACTTCATAGACATGATGTTACTAAACAGTTACGTAATTTTTAAAAACCATAAAAAAGATCGAGCTTTTCATGTTTACAAACGAAAATTAGCCGAAGAAATTATTGACAAATATTTACCAAATGTAAAAGTAAGTGAGGCATCTATCAATGATTCGATAACGCGATATACTGGCAGGCATTTTCCTATACGGATACCTGCAACTCTAGCAAAGGGAAACAGAACATGCAAAGCGATGCGTTGCATGCTTATCTAAGTCTCTTCGAAGAGAAACAGTTTTTAAATGCCATATCTGCGATGTAGCATTATGTATTGATCACTTTAAGGAATTCCACGAGAAATAATTTTTTTATTTTATCTATAAAATAATTTTTATTTTTTTTCCTTTTTTATAAAAAAAATGTAAAATGCGTTGTTTGCGATGTAACACTGTGTATCAATTGTTTTAAAAAGTATATGTTAAATAAACTCCACACTGAGAGAAAAGTATATGATATTTGGAACTATAATGATATAGTAACTAAATTATAGTCCGAAATATCATATTTATAGTAAATATTACCATAATATCGGTAATAATTACGATATAGGCATAGTATAACCAACCATATAATATTTTTACTAAGAATTATAGTAAGTTAAACTAAAATTATTGTATGGATATAAATATAAAATAGTAGGTAAAGTAACTCTTTTATATAATCAATATTACCGGAATATTTGCTAAATGATGACAGATGTAACTATATGAATATTAAATCTCACTATATTTGTGAATGAGAAATTACCATATATGTGGTAAAAGTAACTAAACAATTATTTAAGACAATCATTGACTATATATTTGAGTTTATTCTACTATATTTTGCAGGTTCCACGAACTATAAAAATATGGTTGATGCCAAAATGAACTATAAAATATAGTGAGATTATAATTAATACAACTATATTTTTCTATCAGTGCATGAACACTTCTGGTGTCATGTACTGCACATACGACCGACCACGCGCGGTGATACGGGCCAGTCGTCAATTGGTGGACGTCGCTGATGCCTGAACACGGCACATTAACTAGGGTCATGATGCAAATGGGTTAAGAAAAGTAATGAATATTTCGAAAGTGGCGCCATCTGTAAACAAACTGATATAGGCCGTGTTTCAAAATTTACTGCCAGCGCTGAAGAGTTATGATTTGCGTGACACAAACTAAATATTTTCAGTACTGGCAGTGAATTTTGGAACACGGCTATAGTTGTTTCATGTCCCCCTTTAAACCATACAACTTTTGTCTGAAATATTTTTCGATTTAATGTAGTGTTTCTGAGATATTTGAATGGATCCTTTATAAATAGGACACTCTGTCAACATCGAGACCATTGGAAATGAGTTTTTTAAACTGCATGTTTACCTTACTTATTTACTTATTATTCTTATTATTTTTTACTTTCTACTTCCGATTGTCTGTTGATTCGTCGTCTGCTAATAACGTCTGATCTCTTCATGTTCTTTACACCGTTTGCTTCACTGTGCAACGGCATTAATTGTAGAATATGCGTCGATCAGAGCGCCGAGCAGGAACGGCAGCTGAGGTCGCTGCAGCTGGAGATGGAGACGATCCAACGGCAGTTCGATGCCGCGTCAATCGACCGCGAGAACGCGATTCAGGAGAATCGGAAGCTGCAGGACGACTTGGCCGCAGCGACCTGCGAGGTGCGCAATATGCAGCGCGAGTTGGAGGCTTCGCGCGCTGAGGCCTACGACCTCAAGAGGCAGCTGCAGACCTACGTGAGCGAGGTTCGCCGCGCTGAGGAACTCCTCAACCGAAAGGTAAGATCCCGAAGGAAGGATTCGCGTGGACTTTACAACTCTCTTCGCACATGTCTTCCAGGAGAATGAGAGGACAGAGATGTTGAACCACTTCCGCAGCCTCAGCCTGGAGGCGACAGTCTTGGAAACCAACAATCACAGCTTGGAATCCGAAGCGGCGGAAGCCAGGGGCGCCCTGCAGACGGCGAGGCACCAGATGCTCGACCTGGAACGTCAACTGGCCGACAGAGACTGCTTGATCAAAGGCTACGAGACTCAGGTATATCAGGTTCTACCGTTGAAAACGTGTCAAGAGTCCACGTAGTAGTCGCTGGCTACTCTATTAATATCGCTTACTCATGACTAATGCGGGTGAATTGAATTCTGGAGCTTCCAGAGGAGCTTCCTGAACGTCGGCTCTTTGTTCATGTCGGTTTAATGGTTCCCTCAGATAAGCAAACTGACGCAGAGTGTCGCCAACATGGAGACACAGCTGCGACAGCAGACCGAGCAGAAGCTCCACGCCGAGTCCGATCTCATGGCGATCAGGGACCTGTGCGTGAAACTGGATCAGCAAAAGGACGCGCTTCTGGAGCAACTCGGCGACAAGAATTCAGCAAAAGCGCACGTGAGTTCGCTTATGCTTCCGTTTGACCTTTCCGGCTGTCACCTTTTCCCTTCTTTCGCGTGCTGCTTCACGATTACACTTCTTCATTTTTTCGCGCAGTACGAGGCGCAGCTGTCCAGGCTGAAGGCCGAGCAGAGCGTCGCGGAAGACCAGATGATCCGGGATCGTGTGACGGTGGAGCGGCTGGAGACCCTTTTGGACCAAGCGAGGCAGGAATCGATCAACGCGCAAGCCATCAATCAGGAACTGGAGAACGAGATCGCCCGGCTAAAGCAGAGGATCAGCGAGCTTCAGAGCAAACTGTACGCGTCCGATGAAGGGAGATTTAGCGAATATATTTCGGTGGATTGAAATTGTAGATCTTGAAACAGCCAAATCAGCCTGCGCATGATGCCGATCGCGAGTTCTCCGTTTGTGCGCATTCAGTTTCGACAACTTGCACAGGTTCTTATGGCTTTTCTAAAAGCGACCATGCTCAGCGTCCCTCCTGATCGCAGGTCGTCCGAATCCGTGGAGCTCAGGCGGTATCAGACTCAAGCGGCGGAGTATAACAAGCAGGTCAGCGAGCTTCGCAGACAAGTCACCAATGAAAGGTTCGACCGAGCGAGGAAGGAAGAGGAAAGTCGCAGGTATTCCTCGTCGCTGGCGAGACGACTCGCGCTCGCGTCCAGTCTCAGTGTTCCTTCTCGTGTTTCTTCGTCTCGCGCTTCCTGTTCCGAGTTTCACCCATCGCGACCGTTTCCGCGTCTAGATATTCCGACGAGCCCACGTTTCCGCTCCAGCCAACGTCGACGCAAGATCATGCGATACCTCCTCCTCCTCCTCCTCCTTCTCCTCCTCCTCAGCCGGACACGAGGCCCTCCAGCGACGACTCCAGTGTTGCTGCTCTCGCGTCCAGGTAGAACCCAACATGGCTGTAACGTCTCCCGCGCGCGCGAAAGTCCGGCATGATCGACCTCGCGAGCGATATCGCGTGCCAATGACGAAATTCGTCTACCAGGCAGACGGACTGGCTGAAGAAGCCGTACACCGCACTTCCCCGATACATCTCGTGCGTGACTGGTGACGATTCCGCCAGCGGAACCCCGGGACCGACACGCGAGCACGACGATCGGACCGCTCTTTCGTCGTTCCCCGCAGAGTGCCGGTGCCGCCCGACCTTCGGCAGACGCGTTCTCGTCTCCGCCGACGTCACGTCGCGGTGTCCCGCCACAACGTTCCCCTACTGCTCGCGGCGCAGGTCCTCCGACGACGCGGAGGACGAAGGCATGAATGATCGTTAGGGCGACTTCGCCGAGCGCATCTAGTTGATAACGTGGACTTGCTCTGTCGGAACTTTTAAGCTTTCTTACGGCGACCCGTACACGGTCTTTTCCGCGACGTCATATGATTTATACGGAGCGCGTACATGCACGTTTGTAGGAAATATATACGGATTTTTTTACCCCGAAAGATCGCCTTTTTCATGCGCACGCGCGCGATCACATGATTCTTCGACCGTTCGACGCGACGCAGCGCGATAGAAATAATGGCAAGATCGTACGGAAGAAAATATCGTTCTATTGATAAGACGATTACTCGGTTTGCTTCTTCCTTCCTTCTTTCAAGTGAGCTCATCTCCAGCAGAGAATGTTTTCTTGATAATAGTCTTACTTGTATCTTAAATTGCACTATTGTCACAATTTAGAACAGTTTATTATCATGTATTCGAATGAAGAATTTATTTTCTGTCTCTTTCTCTAAGAATTCATATTCGGGTAAAAAAGATGATATACAGGGTAAGTCATTTTAATTTATCCACATTGATAACTTCGAAGATTATGGAAATATCGAAAAATGTCCAAAAGAAAAGTTATAGGGTTCGTAAGAGATCAACTGATGGTGACCTTGAGGAGCATTTTCAAGGTCAGTTGAAGGTCAACTAAATTTTTTAAAATAGAAAGCCCAATTTTTTGTTATATCTTCTTTTCCTACCAATTAATTTGAACAACTTTGTCTGAAACATTCTTTTTGCCTAATATTTTTTGAGATATTTAAGGAAAATTTTTTCAACATTTAATTTATATCTCGCTAATCATTTGTCGAAAATGCAGCAAAAAATGGTACTAGACTTTTTTACTCTATTTAATCTCAAGAATATATTGTTATAACAGTGCCTTTACTTTTGTTAATTTTTTGATTTTGAAATTTCCAAAGATCAATAAATTAACCAAAGTAAAGGCATTACTATAGCAATATATTCTTCAGATTAAATAAAGTAAAAAAGTCTAGTATCATTTTTTCTTTCGACAAATGATTAGCGAGATATCGTAAGTTAAATATTGAAAATATTATCAAGTTTTCCTTAAATATCTCTAAAAACATTAGGCAAATAAAAGAATGTTTCAGACGAAAGTTGTTCAAATTAATTGGTAGAAAAAGAAGATATAATAAAAAATTGGGCTTTCTATTTTAAAAAATTGAGTTGACCTTCAACTGACTTTGAAAATGCCCCTCAAGGCCAAAGGTCAAGGTCACCATCAGTTGATCCCTTACGAATCCTATAACTTTTCTTTTGGACATTTTTCGATAGTTCCATAATCTTCGAAGTTATCAGTGTGGATAAATTAAAATGGCTCACCCTGTATATACAGGGTGAGGCACCTAAAACAGGCCACCTGGATAACTTTGAAAATATACAAGATAGAAAAGAAATGTCAAATACAGAAGTTCTAGGATTTCAAGTGACGCATCACATAGCTATATTAGTATAATCTTGAGTAGCGTCATCAAGGTTACAGGAAGGTCACTTTGAATTTTTTAAATGGAAATTCCAATTTTTTATTATATCATCTTTTTCCACCAACTAATTTGAACAATTTTTGTCTAAAACATTTTGTTAATTGCATAATATTTTTTGAGCTATTTAAAAAAAGAAAGCTTGATAACTTTCTCAATATTTGGTTTATATCTCAATTATTTGTCGGAAGAAAAAGTGGTACTAGACCTTTTTTACTTTATTTAGTCTCAAAAATATGCTGCGACAATAGTGCTCTAATTTTTATTAACTTGATGATCTTTGGAAATTTCAAAATTATCATATCATTAGACAAAATTTAGAGCGCTATTGTAACGACATATTTTTGAGACCTAATGGAATAAAAAAGTCTAACATCACTTTTTTTTCCGACAAATATTTACCAAAATATGGTAAACCAAATATTGAGAAAGTTACTAAGTTTTCCTTAAATATTTCAAAAAGCATTAGGCAAATAAAAAAATATACTTCAGACAAAAGTTGCTCAAATTAATGGGTGAAAAAAGATGATGTAATAAAAAATGGAGGTTTCTATTTAAAAAATTCAAGATGGTCTTCTCGTAACCTAGACGATGTTGATTTAACTTTTATATTTTTTTTCTATCTTGCATATTTTTAAAATTATTCAGAGGATCCGACTTTTTTTCGCCATCTTGTATAATCATATACATCCACATGGGAAAAGAATAATGTTAAATGAATAAAGGAAGAAATAGTTTTATTCAAATAAACGTTGACATTATATGCTGCCAGCAACATAAGCATTTATTTCAATTGCATTTGTATTTCAATTGTACGACAGAACTTTTTTCGTTGTGGACGTATATGATTACATATGATTATACATGGACAAAATTCATACATGATCTTTTCTCTTCCCGGGTACATACTTAAATTAGTATGTATTGTACAGAATGTCTCTCTTAGATCAGCCGAATATCTCGAAAACTGAGTGCGGCAGACAAAAATGTTTCAAATAAAAGTTATAGGGTTTTAACAAATGTGTCAAATGGCGATATTCACTTGACCTTGAGAATAGTTGCGAAGGAGTTCTCGAAGTCCATTTTAAAATCTTAAATGAAGACCTTCATTTTTTATTGTCTTTTTTTCTTATTATTTTCTTATTATTTTATTATCTTTTTATTGTCTTTTTCTACCAATTAATTTCGATCACTTTTGTCTGAAACATTTTTTTATTTGCCTAATATTTTTTGAGATATTAAAAAAAACCTTGGTAACTTTTTCGATATTTACGATATCTCGGTAACTATTTGTCGGAAGAAAAAGACTTTTTTATGCTCAAGAATATGCTGTTACAATAGTGTCCTAACTTTTGTCAACTAGATGACCTTTAGAAATTTCAGTCATCAAGTTATACGAAGCAAACCGGATTCTTGTTTCAATTTAATATTTTTGATTGAAGTGCTAAATTTCCTAGGAACCGGAATGTACTTTGAATAAATTAGATGCTCACACGGCGAGATTGTGGCAGATTTGCGAATATGTAACTTTGGGTGAGTGCAAAAGTTCGTGCGGAGTTTGTGAGTAAAAGTCACACAGTGATTAGGCAAACAAAAATCTTTATTCAATCAATGATATATTCTCCATCGTTTTCTATAATCTTTTCCCAACGTTCTGGCAGCATACGGATGCCTCGATCATAAAAACTGCGCGGTTTAGATTCGAAGAACGAAGAGACGCCGTTTTTTAAGGCCTCCAAAGAGTCAAAGTTTTTTCCATTTAAATAATTTTGCAATGACCGGAACAAGTGATAGTCAGATGGTGCGATATCAGGAGAATACAGTGGATGCGTTAAGACATCCCATTTCAGGCTCTTCAGTTTGCGCAGCGTCTTTTTCGAAACGTGTGGTCTGGCGTTGTCGTGATGAAAGACGACTCCCTTGCGATTTGACAAAATCGGACGTTTCTCTTTTATTTCTCGATTCAGATTGGTTAATTGGCGACAGTACTTGTCCGAATCAATCGTTTCGTCAGCGGGGAGAAGCTCGAAATAGATTATGCCCTTGCAATCCCACCAAACAGAGAGCATCACCTTCATCGGGTGCAAACTGGCCTTTGGCATTGCGTCACCATGCTCACCTGATTGTTTCCATGTCCGTTTGCGCTGAACATTGTTGTAGAGGACCCATTTCTCATCGCCCGTCACTAGTCGATCCAAAAACGACTCGTTATTGAGCCGCCCGAGTAAAGAAACGGCTGCAGAAATTCGCTTGATTTTGTTCTTCTCGGTCAGCAAATGGGGCACCCATATATCGAGCTTCAAATCGAATCCCATCTTTTTTAAACGCCGAAAAGCGGTTGATCGGTCAACGTTTAGTGCTGTAGCAACTTCTTCTGTTGAAATTCGCGGATTATTGAGCACTAAAGTACGCAAAACATCGTCATCAATGTCAGAAGGTCGACCAGAGCGTGGCTCGTCTTCAAGGTTAAATTCTCCGCGCCGAAATTTAGCAAACCATTTTTCCACAGTTCGTTTAGCTGGTGCTTCATCCTGATAAACATCCTGAATGTTTTTTACGGCTGCGGCAACGTTTATTCCCTTCCGAAACTCGTAAAGCATAACATGCCGTAAATGCACCTTATCGATACTCATTTTTAAAGTGATATTTCTCGAAGCAGTTTGTATGAAAACAAATGATTTTGTTTTTAATAACAGCTGAAGACGTCACCTTTCCAACGTTATATAATATGTAGATGGAAGTATTAATGACAACACTTTACGACGCTTATAACTCCATCTATTGAAACTCCGCACGAACTTTTGCACTCACCCAATACTTTGAATAAATTAGATGCTCACACGGCGAGATTGTGGCAGATTTGCGAATATGTAACTTTACGAAACACTTGGGAGAGAAGCAAGCGAGACTTGAATGTAGCATACCTTTTTCTCAGCATACTCAACGCATCTCAATGTGCCTCACGTAATCCTCTGCTTTGTGTTCGCAGGTCGCTAAACTCGAGCCCGGACAGTTTCAATGTAGACTTAAATTTAATCGTGTAGGACACTACATACGATGTCTCTTGATCCCCGTAGATATTTGCAGCGGGGTGACATCGGTGGTACCGACATAGACACTGCGAGACGCACGAATCGATTCGACGCGTCCAACCCCGACATCGTAGCTTGCGCGTGCACCAAGCATCGTCAAGCACGTCCTGGCGCGGCCGACTGCAACGTGTGTCGTATCAATATAATTATATGTCCGGAACGAGCGGCAACCTGCGGAGCCGACGAGTCACGCGGTCAAGGGAATGAGACTCCCTCGGGCAAGGATCAGCGGAATAAAGCGGTATCTACGGATTCTTTCAAGAACGCGTCGTACGGATTCGCCACGACGCTGCAGCGTGCAAACTTCGTTACGGACGAAGGACATCTGGAGGATCTACCGACCTCCACTCCTTTGCGAGCCCTGAAGACGGAAATCTTGGAGGAGACGAGCCAGGCGACTGAAAGGATGCAAGATAAGAGCGTTGAAACCGAATTCGCGAAGGATGCGTCATCGGAGGCTCCGTCGAAGACCCTGTTGGACTTGTTGAGAGACGATCGGGTACAGCCTCGACGTTGCTTCTGCTCTGAGCCTCGCATAGTCCCGCGCGGGATCAGGAGGGTTATCGCGGTGAACACGATGAAAAGAATACCTGCGTGTCAAAGATCGAACAACGTGTACGCGTGTAGGAAATTTAATAGAAGACATTTCGTGCGGTATTATCCAACGAACAACGGTGAAGTCGACGGTCTTCACGGTGCAAGCAGCAAGAGCAAGGATGAAGATCGTCCTTTCAATATGTACAGCAATCCGAGCGATCACGAGGCACTCCGGACCGATAAGAAACGGAGCGATCGAGTTGCAAAGACGACCTCGAGGAGTCGCGTTGAAGATCGATCAAAGCGTCCAAGAGACTCGATGGAGCATAGCTGGAACAATCAGGACGTTCGAAAGGAATGGACGTATGTAGAATATTTGATGAACGATACGTTGAGACTGTTAGGTGGCACAAGCGCGTTGGGAGAGAAGAGGCTGAAGATCAGAGAGACGCGCAAAGAGAATCGCAACGGCAGACTCTGCGAGGCGCGAACTTCCACGGGTGTTGACTGAGAAATCAATGAAGAACTTGGGAGAACACCAATGATACCGAACAAGACTGCCGAGAAGAAACGGAAATTGCTTCACAGATCTCGTGCATTGAACAAGTGACCTTTGGTGTGCAGAAAGTAGACGAAGTAACGAAATAATTTAGTTTAAAGTATCTCTAATCAAGATATATAGTAATTTTAACTCGCCTGATTCATCAGCTGACGTCGCAATAAATTCTTTTATACTCTTTACGAGACAACATTCTATCCTGTACCTGTCCTGGCGTCGCGATGTTCCTTGAAATTTAACGGATTCTAAAACGATGAACATCAGCAAGTTCCTGAGTGACTGTCCAAACTTCTCCGTGGAATACGCGCGTGTGTGCAAAGTCGAGGGAGAATTCGGCAAACTGAGCTTGCGTGGCCGTCTAAAATTTCTCTCCTTCTGTTTTTTTTTTTTTTTGAAAAGCACACCCGGTAGTCGACGATTCGTGCACAATACGATGGAGAAAAGGAAGAGAGAGCCGCATATAAAACAATCCTTCTATGTTTTTTCCATATTCTCCTTCGTATTTAGTCATTTATTATATCGTTCTTTTATTCCTTTACACAGATGTTTATTTATGATCTCAATGATCGTACGAAACGGTGAACATGTAAACTAGGTAATTACAAATAATAAAAATAAAAAGCCTCTCACAAGATTTTCGTCCTCCTAAACGTTCATCAGCTATTTAAACTTGTTTTTCTTTATATATATTTATATATAAAATACATAATAGAGGCTCGCAGAAGGTCCATTATCATACTTTTTATGTCCTATCTTTAAACGGCCGTTTTGCAATATAGACGAAGCCGTTTCTCGATTTTCTTTTTTTCTCTCTTCCTCACTTTTTCTTTCTCTTTCTCTCGCACACACACACACACACACACACACACACACACACACACACACACACACACACACACACACACACTCTCTCTCTCTCCCCCCCCTCTCTCTTTCTCGCTTTCTCCACCGAACCAGTTAAATAATTACAAAAATCCGTTCCTTGCAACTTCTATGTCTTGTCACAATCTATTATAATACAAGAATCTTTTTACTTCGTTTTTCTTAAACGCGTTAAACTTACAATCTTAAGAAATTTACACAGAGGTTTAACATCGTGAATGAAATACAGGTATTATGTACAAGTATGTATATTATATATATATATATATTTATATATATAATATATATAATACATGTGTATATATATATATTGTATATGTACAATATATATATATACACATATATATATGAATATGATCAGCTTACTCTTATACTCTTTTTATGCGACGTACTGGTGTTTTTCAGGGAACTGATTAAACAATAAATGCAATCTATGCCGCTTCGCAAAGTAGTGACGTCCGAGAATGTAAAACTCGTCACTAGCGCGTCTCATCGCAGCGAAAAATGAAAATATGCCTCTACATAAATTACACTTTGAACTTTCCCGGCGAATCTCTCTCTTCCCTTCTCTGTTTCTCTCGCTCTTATCTCTCTCGAACAATGCGGTTCAGCCGACTCGGTTCAAGACTCGAGGAAAATGATCCTTTTGCGACAATCTTCCGCTCGCCTGTCTCTCGCATACAATGTAATTGATGAAAGAAATACCGTCGTCCTCCGTGGCAATTCACGCGAAAGCAAAACAGTGTTGGAGTATTACGCCGAAAGACAACTTTGTCATTATGCGTTGCAACGCCGTCCGCGCGATATCACAAGAAATTTCGTCCATTTTTGCTATATAAATCTATATATCGAGTGTTATCGGGTCTCCGACGAGACACTCGAAATGTACCTCTCTCTCTCTCTCTTTCTCTCTCTCTCATTCTCTCGCTCTCTTTTTCTCCTTATTTCAGAGTTCATCGCAACACAAGCTGCCGCGCAAATCAAAAGGAACAATGCGATGCTGATTTCCACCGCCAACTAATAACAAAAATTTGTCAAATTAATCTCGCGAGAAAAGAAAAAGAGGGCAAGATCCGATGTCACGATGGGATCGTTATTTAAGATCTGTAGTATTAGGCCTTCTCTACATCGGAGCTGTCGAGTATCTCCGCAGTTTCGGGCCGCCCAGGACAACGCGTCGTCGACGCTCATCATCTTCACCATACACGCGTCCCTTCACAATGATCGGCATTCGGCAACGACGTGGAGAACAACGAATGTTTACCACGAAAATCAACCGTAAGTCGCGAACACTTAGCGAGTTCTGTTCTCTAAGTCCAGATGCGCGATAATACAATAGCTTCGTTTAAAATCTGCTTAATATTAGTAACTCGTTAACTCTTTCTCTCTCTCTCTCTCTCTCTCGCTGCTTTCGGGATGACATTTTTTAGATGTGCTCTT